TGAACGACCAATTACTCCATCTCGAAATTATATAAGGCTGGTTCATTATTATGATTATTATCGTTGTCACGAACAGTAACGTGGTAGTAATAGAAAATTGCTTATGAAGTATCTAAATGAAAATTGCTCATGAAGTATCCATATATCTATTGAATGGATTGATCCGTTGAAGTTATCTACCTCGAAAATTATAGACAATTAACAATTGCAGGTACATGCCAGTTGAAGACGCACTCGAGAAGTACAAAAAACGATGCATGACCTATTCAACACTTTCGAAGTATTCTTTTCATTAGTTTTGATATCACTATTAACATCGCTATTAGTATTCAGCTATCAGAACAACTAAGCACTTGAATGAATATGTTGTTTGAAGCTGAATGATATCTTACTGCCAGTTCAAAGCTTCGACATCGTTGATGCTTCAAAATTGTTATTTATTTTTTAAACGAGACGTCTGCATGACTTAACTCAGCCTCTCGTTACAACACCAAAATTTGAAAAAAATTTCATTCTTATAGGTGTGGAATATTCGATAATATTTCTTTAAGAACCATGAATTCTGTATTTACATAGAAATTCAACAATTAAAACCACATTACGACAGTGAATTTGTTTAGCGATATATGTATGGCATTCATAACTGTAACGATTGATTGATATATTCAGATACTGGTTAAGTCCGAGCACATACCAAATCCGACGTGATAGAGATATGAATCTGAGCATGCCAACGAACCTACTTCGAAATTATACGTCACTATCTTCGTACCATAATCCTCCTTCTTACCGAAGATTCACTTCAAGACTCACAACTTATTGACAATGATATACAGTCAGAATGATCCTATTCGAAGAGACTGCTTCTTTGATGCTTCGTTATGAAATTAATACTCATGCTTCAAATTAATACTTCCATATTCATGCTTCCATTATCTTTTTATGCTCTTATTTTATTAAACTGAATCTTTCTTTGTGCATCTATCGTGACCGATTCAAACAACATTTCACATAGTCAAGAATGTAGCACGTTTTATTGAAAGCTTTATATTCTGTTGTGTTATCATCAAGCCATGATTCTTTTTAATCAACATTCAAATTTGGGTGATTGAATCAATAAAACATTGCTTACGGCCATCACGTTATCAATAAGCACTTTTAAACGGAACATCTATGGTAAGGTTTGTCAACCGAGGATGCTTGTACCCCCAAGGGGTGCGAGATAAGGTTTTATTTTTTACACATTAAAGCAGGCGAGCACGGAGTTCAACGCATAAATGTGTGTGAAATAAGCCTGAGTGGACTTTAACGTATGTATTTTTAAAAAGGCTAGAACGCACTGCTATAGTATGCAGTTATCTACACTAGAGCAGAGTGGATGTTGTGAGCGATGCGACGACATTTTAATTATTGCCGTAAGGGGTACGTAAACATCTTAAATTTTTTAGGGAGTGCGGGAAGGAAAAAAGGTTCAGAACCACTGATCTATGAGAATAAACCCCTTGCCCCACCTCACCTTGAAGTTTGGAAGACAAGAGAAAAGGAAGCGAAAAAGAG